CGCCCACCACGACGACCCGGCCCCGCCCTCACCTGCGAGGCCCCGCCCCTCCCTGTTGTGCCGAGGGGACCCGCGCTGTCCACGGCGTCTCCAAGGCCACGCCCGTGGGGAAGGGAGGCTGCACTCAGGGCTCGGTCGGTGAACGTGGCCCAAGTCGGGCAGTTTCCAGTCGTCCGCACCGCAGCGACGAGGAGAGAGAATGTCCCGGAACCCGTCGGGGCAAGGCGCGCCCTGTGCGTGGGGAGGGACTGTCCAGCTGACGCGTGGACGCCAGCGCACACCGCGGGATGGGCGGGAAGGGGCCGAGGGAGGGAGCTGCGGGGCCTGGGGCCGCCGCCTCGGACTCAGCAGCTCCTCGCCTAGGTGCGCAGTTCGGCGTGGGGCCAAGGACAGCTCATTCTGGAATACTCACCTCGGTGGTGTTCGTGTCCGTGACAGGAGGACCCTGGTAGTGTGGTAGAGCAGTACCTTCCCACTCGGAGTGTTACACAGCGAAGGCAGTGGGCCTAGGAAAGCCGCGCGCAGTTCTGTTGGTGGATACACCAGTACACAAGACGCACAAGAGAGCATGCTGAACGGTTTATTTATGGTGTCCTAGATCTACCTTATGGTTACCAGCTTTCTTTCTTTCTTTCTTTCTTTCTTTCTTTCTTTCTTTCTTTTTAACATGGTCTCACTATGTAGTTCAAGCTGGCCTCGATTTCACAATGGTCCTCCTGCCTCCGTCTCCTGAGCGTTACAAATGGTACGCAAGAGATTACCGGGACACAGGCTTTGTGGGAGGAAAAAAAAAAAAAGCTGATTATTCTGACTGGGGGGGTAGGTAGGCTGAGATTGAGATAGATGTCAGCAATTGGCCAGAGGAGAAGTTAAGTTTTTATAGCCCTTGGGGATGGGGGTTGCGACCCTAATGGCTCTGGGATGGAATGCCTGGAGTGTTCCCAGGGTGGTCAGTGCAGGTTTGTAGATAATACCGGACTTCTCAGCACCAGGGAAATTGCATGTCCTGTCCTATATTTTCTTTTTGGCCCGCTGTCCTGTTCACGGAGGACAGGTTGGCCTTTTAGTGGTCTCCCTCTGTTTGTGGAGAATTGCATGTTTCCTGAGAGGGTTTCGCTCAGGTCAGATGATGTTCCCATCTTCTTATTGTTATGTACAGAGGGGCAGGAGAGTGGGTGATGTTCCTCATAGCGCCCTTGTGTGTGACAAATGGGGTGGCATGGGGTGCCTAACTGGGGGAGAGATCTGGACGAATAGGGGTTTATCAAAGAATGGTCAGGGTCAGGTTGGTGACCACCTGAACGCTGTCCTGTAAAAGTTATGTCTGAGGAGATATGGCCCAAAGAGAAGGAGGACAATGACACAGACAAAAGGTCCAGTTAATAGAAGAAGCCAAGCCGGGCATGGCGGCGCACGCCTCTAATCCTAGCACTTGGGAGGCTGAGGCAAGAGGATCGCTATAAGTTCGAGACCAGCCTGGGCTACACAGTGAGTTCCAGGTCAGTCTCAACTACATAGTGAGACCCTGTCTCAAAAATCCAAACCAAACCCAACAAAATAGAAGAAGCCATGGTGCTCAGCCCCAAATACTGGTCCAAGAGTCAGGCAGGTGCTGTCCAATTTCTGAGGCCTTTTCTTAGTGGCATCTCTTACTATGCCTGCCTGGTTAAGCAGTACTCTAGGAAGATGCATAACCTTCCTTTCTCAGATGTGAGAAGGTCTAGACCTCTGTGATTTCAGAGGGTCACTGCCGCCAGGGAGTCTACCTGCTTCTGTAAGGTGAGAGTGGAGTCAGCTAGCTCTTTGAGGTTGCCAGAAGTATCTTGGGAGGGAGTAATAGTGGGTCAGGGAGGTAGATAGACCCACTATGCCAGTCCCTGTGGCAGTGGTGATGCTCAGGCTGACAAGAAAGAGTATTAGTTGTAGATGTCTACATTGTCAGAGCTGGGCTCTAATGGCAACAGGCGGGCTCCCATTTCCCGGGGCAATGACTAACTTCAGGCTGAAGTAGGTAGGTGTACAGGTACCAGTTCACTTAGTGGGCAGGGAAAAGTATGTGGACGTCTCACAAGGGAAGAAGACACTTTGGCTGGGTAAGCAGAGCTGGTTGTGGATGTGAAAGAGGCGTGCCAGTCTGGTTTTCTTTTTCTAAAATGCCCGGAGCATCTGCCAGGGCAGTGTGTAGCAGGGTCTGGAAGTGCCCTGGCAGGGGATTCGACTGGCACCCATCGTTCTGTTTTCTCATTGGAGGAAGCATCTTTTGGTGTCTATTAGGAACCTCTGTGAGGAGTGGTTAAAGCTATGCAAGAGGAGGCAATCTGAGAGAGCAGAGGATTGGCGAAGGCGTCCATGGGAAGTGGTGGCCATTGCAGAACTCTGTCTATTGAGCAGTGATGGTTTTCTAACCTTAGGGGGCTGGAAAAGCAGACAGGCTGAGTGAATGGGGCATCCTGGTCACCTGAAGCCAGTAACAGTAGTGTACAGTTACACTGACCAGGGAGCAGGTGTCCTAGTGGTGTAACAAAGGATGGGTTATGCTGAATGCAAATGGAGGCTTGGAAGGCCAGTGTAGTAACAGTGATTATGGAGCCGTGTATGGGCTTAGCCGGGCTCTCATATGCAGAGGTGTTAGCAAAATAGGACCACAGGAGCTGGGCTGTGTGTCCAGACTGAACCCTTTTCTGTCTTGTCAGTGATGCGAAAAGTGGTGATGGACTTTTTGTTGTGGAGTTTGAGTGTGGCCCTTGTTTCATATTGAGGGTGATATGTGAGGTTAGTAGGGACCCAGACCTGGGGGGTGGCTGCATAGTTGGCTGTAGACATGGGAATAATTTTTGAGCCAGCAATTTTTGGCTAAGGAAGGTTTGGACCAGTTTAGCAGGGAATGGGTTAACTGCAGGGTCCTGTAGAGATAATTAGGGGCCTTCAAGAGAAGTGATGAGGATGCAACTGTGGGATGTGGCAAAGGAACAGGAGTGCCAGACCAAAGAGTGCAGAGAGGAGGAAGGGGAGTTTAAGTAGGGCAAAGGTGAACATGAGAATGAGACATGACTGCATTCCCTGGGGCAAAAGACAATTGAGTTGAAGCCATATAGAATTATAAGTAAAATCCACAGGGGATGTTTAAGGTCCTCTCTATGAATCATTGAACAGGAGGGTGAGAAGGAAGGAAAACAGTTCAACCCCCTCTGGGGAGAAGTCACACAGAGTGCCCTGAGAAAGGAGCTCTTCTATCCATGCAAGGAAAGGCTTTAGGGTGAAACTCTAAGGGTGAAACCACAGAAGATCAAAGCTGCCTGAATGAAGGAAGTGGGCAAAACGGCAGAATAGGCGAGGCATCTAAGTGTCTCCTGGAATTCGGTCAGCCTGAGGGAAGTATGGGAGATTACTTGTAATTTCCATGAAGAGGGGTCAGGCAGATGATTGGCAAGACACAGATTGACCCAAGAATGATGTATCCACTGGGGAGGGTCTTGTACCTGGGAGGTCTTCCAGAGTGCTGTAGATGACCAGGAAGGATCCTGTCCACTTAGGCTGTAGAGACCAAGGGTTTAAATCTTGGTAGCCAAGCTATCTTCATGAGGCTGGGTGTTAGGAAAAAGTAGGAGGTTAGCAGTGTATTATAT